CCCCTCTGAGTCTCCTCTTCTCCAGGCTGAAGAGGCCCAGTTCCCCCAGTCTCGCCTCATACGGCATCCCCTGCAAACCGGCCACCAACCTTGTGGCCCTACACTGCACTGACTCCAACCTGGCTATATCCTTTCTGTAATGAGGGGCCCAAAACTGAGCACAGTACTCCAGTTGCGGGCACACCAGAGTCGTGCAGAGTGGTAGTAATACCTCTCTCGATCTAGAAGCCACACTTGTGGCCATGCAACCAAGGGTGGCATTCGCCCTCTTGGCCACCGCATCACACTGCTGACTCACGTTTAGCCTGCAGTCGACCAGCACCCCGAGGTCCCTTTCACAAGTGCTGATCTCCAGCCACTTGTCACCTAACCTGTACTTATGACACCCATTCCTATGCCCCAAGTGCAAGACCTTGCACTTATCCACTTTGAACGCCATCCTGTTGTCTCCTGCCCACTTCCATAGTCTGACCAGATCCTTTTGGATCTGGATTACCTGCTCCTCAGTTGTGGCCACTGCCCCAGTTTTAGTGACGTCTGCAAATTTGATCAGCAGACTGGTCACCCCTTCTTCCATGTCATTTATGAAAAGATTAAACAGGATCGGCCCCAGGACAGAGCCCTGGGGGACCCTGCTTGTCACTGGCCGCCATCCCGATGATTCCCCGCTAATGGTTACCTTCTGCTTTCGGTCAGTCAACCTTGCCCTAATCCACCGGACAGTGCTTTGGTGTATCCCAAAACTCCTCAGTTTCTCCACCAGGATATCATGGGGCACTTTGTCCAAGGCCTTGCCGAAATCCAGGTAACCCACATCCACTGCATCCCCTCCATCCAGCCACCTCGAAACCTTGCCATGGAATCCCACCAGGTTTGTCTGGCAGGGCCTGTCACAGAATTCCACAAACATTTCTATGCCGCCCAATTGTGCCACAGCACCTGGGCGGTTTGCAATTACAAGATGAAAACACAATACAAATGCAATTGAAAAAACGCAATAAAACAACAAAAATAAAATAACAATGAAATATAAGCAGAAATGCAAAACAAGGGTCATATGGCGAATTAGTTATGAACATTTTTTTTTAAAGGAAGGTGGCGGGCGCCAGGCAAGCTTCCTCAGGGATAGCCCCTGGTTGCAGAATCCCAGGCCTCCCGCGGACTTCGCCTGCCCCGGGAGCTCCTGCACGGGCCGCCCACCTTGCCAGGACAGAGCAGCGCTGCTCTGTGCCCGAGCTTCCTTTGGCTCTCTTTCCCGTTCAGCCTGCCTTTCCCTCCCCATCCATTAGCCCGCTCTGCCATCACGGTAAGTCTGTTTGCCTGTCATGCCTTTAAAGCCTGGCATTTTGCCTGCTCTGAGCAGTGCTTCTGTCTGACATAATACATTGCCTCCCGCTCTCATGATCCCCTCACAACTGCTGAGACAGGTCTGTGCAGAATTTTTAAAAGTGGGCTGTGCAGGGGAACAGTAAGTAATGGGCCCCCATCATTCACCATGCAAAGCATTTTGGGTTCTTTGTAGGATGCCCCCCTCTCCCCGCCCCCACACACACAAGCAATCACAAAATGCCTTTATGGTCAGTACTACTGGAACACCACTAGGACATGCAGCAGAAGGAAGGAAGGGGCCTGCTCCCTGGGGCGGTGAGGCATAGTCCTCTCTTTCCTCCATTTCGAAACCCTTCCCGTACCTTCACTGGCTAGTGCGAAGAACGTGGAGGCTGTCATGCCCACTGGTCCATCTTCGCTGTATCTTCCGGGTCTCTCCCCAGTGCCCTGGCTTGGTGTCCAGGAACCAGAGGACCTTCTGCGGATCGGACCTGAGTGCCAAGCGGGTTGCCCACCTCTGCATCTCCTCCTTGTTGGACATCTCCGCCTTAGTCAGCGCCGTACGCCGCGCCCCCGGTGTGCTGTGGCGGTGCGCCTTCCTCGGTGGTGCTGAGGGCACGTACTCGGGGCCGCGGCCGCCTTTCCCAGCTTTGCGTTCCGCTGTATAAAACCGGTCCTGCTGCTGCTGGGCCCCGGCACAAATGATTGTCCCTCAGTCTTCATCTGACTAGAGTGGAGCAGTTAAGATTTGATCCTTGGAAATGTTTTTCTAGGAATAGCATTCCTTTTTCCGAGAAAGTATGCCTATTGATGGATTGGCTATAAATATACAAATAATCAAGAGCAGTATTACATACATTTCACTGTGCTCATATTATATTCCCCCAAATAACTGCCTATATGTATTGTACAATTTCTCATTTCAGTGGAAACTGTAAGAGAAATTATGCCTATTATTCCTCCTCTAAATGCTTCATGCCATTAACAGGATGTCTTGTCTGTCTTGTGGTTTAATCCTGCTCTGGCATTTAATAGAAAGATGCCACTTGCTCAGCAAACAGGTAGCTGGAGAGCTTCTGCCCTCCAATCCATGGCCACGCGAAACCAGCCATTTCAGCAATAGGGAGCAGTGCACACGTGGATCTCCACGGTCGCCCAGGCAAGCAACCGTTGAGCAGGAAACGCTCCAGTAGTCCCCGGCGGGAGATGGAATTAGCAATGAGCTTTTTCAGTAACACTTGAGGAGGCATAAAATAGCTCCGCTGACTCGTTTTTCTAGATCAGCCTCCCCAACCTGGTTGGATTACGATGCTCAGCATCTGCAGCCAGCAAGACCATCACCTGGAGGCACCAGGGTAGAGAGGGCTAGTCTGTGCAGTCGAGTTGTTTTAAAGCATTGTGCACACTTGGAACGGTCTCCATGTTCGTATCAGAGATGCAGTAAGGAGGCAGGGGACTGACATGCGACCCCCCTTTTGTATCTGCCGTTGGAGGTGATCTGGTAGCTCACAGGCTGGGCCAGCAGGTCAGTGAAACGACGGTTTGTCTCACTCGCTGGAAGCGAGCCGGTGCATCGCTGCAGGGTTAGCAGTCTTGTGGGTGGGCTTGGGATCTAAGGGGGCTGCTCAAACCCTGCAGTCGGGCACCGGCCCCTTTGTCCGCCCTTCCAGGAACGCATGCATGCATGGGCCATTTTGGCCCGCCCAGGCTGCTGCTGAGCCCCTCTGCTCCTTGCTGTGGGGCGCTGCTGGCATCAGTTCTCCAGGACGCCACTTCACAAACATCGCCGGCCCGGGACAGCCTCCGCGCTGCAGCTGCAGTGTGGAAACTCTGAGGAAGGGTTTCCGGGGGGTGGCTGTTCCAGTAGTAATTGCTTGGCCTTGATGGTTCAGATACTCCCAGTTCAGGCTCCCAATTAAGTTAGTGTAATGCACTCCGTGCCTGACAGGAAGCGGCGGCTGCTGCAGGGGGCAGCTGCGAGGCTCCGAGCAGGTCCCTGTTTGGCGGTCTGCTGCACCATGTTTCCTTTCAAGGCATGGGCTGCCCACAAGCAACTGGGTCAGGTGGATAATGCCTAGCCATTGTTAATTTAGAAAGCCCTAAGCAAATTGGGACCGGGTGCTTCCGCCCGGTCCTCACAGCTTGGTGTGGCAGCACACGCCCCGTGGAACACGTCTCCATTGACCTCTGGCAGACCTGCCCGTCCCGCATGCTGAAGGCTCTCGCCCAGCACGTTACAGTTTCCTGATGCTTCTTTGGCCATGTCGTTATCCGCACCCGTCTCTTTGAGGCGTTTCTCTAAACCATTTTGAAAGCCCACCGGAATGACAGTACTCCTGCTGTGTGGCGTGGCGTGGCGTGCCAGGCAGAGAGCTGGCCTTGCTCGGGGGGCTTGGCACCATGTCTGGGTGGGGCTCCCCACACAGTGTGGCCTGGAAGGGTTGATACTGCCCCTCCATGCCGAGTGGGGGAGCGCTTGGCGTTCAGCTTAAGTAGCCATCGTTATGCGTTGGGCTGACCCTCCTGGGCGATTTTGGCACGTGGAAGTGGTCCCCTGAATGCGCCGGCACATCCCAAGGGGACTGCCCGCCCCGTCCTGACTGAAAACTGCCTCTTGCACATTTTCCAGGATACGCGGCACCCCGGTCAGGACGTGGGTCGGCGCATTCAGGCGGGTGCACCACTGTGCCAGAATGGCCCGGGAAGGCCAGCTTGTGGTGAGTACGCCTCGTGAAAGCATGCGCACAGGGAGTGGGGAGGTGGCTCAGGTGCTTCCCAGAATGAGCTGCAGCGGAGCGCAGCTGCCGGCACTCCTTGCTGATCGAGGGGAGTGGAAGCGACTCGGCGGTTGGTGGGGGAGCAGGCTGTACGTCTCCTGAATATTCCGGGGGCGTGGGGAATTTGAAGCAGGTGAATGGTGGAGGGGCGGCAGTTACGTTGTGAGTATGCTTAAAATTAAGGGCACGCTGCCCGGACTGACTGGGATACCAGTTAAACCCCAGAAGCGGCTGGTCCCAGGAAAGGTGGCCAAGAGGCTGAGATTGGCCCACCCGGCAGGTGGGGCACTGCACCTGCACAGGGGAGATGCTCTCATGCGAGGTCTGCTGGAGCCCCCTCGCGCCCCTCCTCCGGCCTGCCTGCAGGATTAATGACGGCCCTCGTGTCGGCGACCTTGGATTCAAGCCTTCCTTCCAGTTAGCCTACAAGAGGTAGCAGCCTTCTCCTTGCCCCTTCTCCGTGCGCAGAGGTGTGCTCGTGAACTGAAGTGCCGTTCGGCCTCGCGAGTCGTCTCCCCTTGCCTCCCCCACCGCTTCACGCCCCTTCCCAGTCCACCCACAGGTCCCTTTCTGGTTCATTCAGTGTCCATCCTCCCATCGGTTTCCCTGGCAACCCTGAGTGCACATCCTGGAAAACTTTATCCGAAATCTGCTCTGGGCAGCTTTCCAAATCCATGCTAACCTGATTAGGTCTCTCTAGAGGCCTGGCTGGCTAATCAAATTAGGTAGCTCTAATGGTAGCGAGGCCTTTGAGTGGGCAGAGAGCAGTAAAACATAGTGTATACTTAGTGATAATTATACTTGCTGTTGTGTCATTGATTTATATGCCTTTCCCTTTTTTATGTGCCCAGATATATAACCCCTTTCTTTGTTTTTGTTGTGTTTCGATTGCAGCCATCCGGAGAAAGGAAAATGGCTGGTATGATGAAGAGCATCCTCTGGTGTTCCTTTTCTTGGGATCGTCAGGAATAGGTAAAGTTGGCATCCTTCTTTGCAGTGCGGAGAACCGGGATCCTGCCTTTGATAACACCCAGCAGCTTTCTCCACGTGTGCTCGGAAGCGAATAACTGAGGGTGCGGCATTCCATACGGGCTGGAGACCTCAAGGACAGTCCTCACGTGCTCCTTGTGCCCAGTCAGGTAGAAGCCCCTCCGTCCTCTTCACTGTCACCTAAACAGCATCGGTCCCTGGCCGGGACGCCTGGTGCACGTTCCCCTTGAGTCGCTGCGCATACGAGCTATTCCACATTCACCAATCGGTTCCAGAAGAACTCAGGGCAGTACTGTATGTGTGTCGAACGTAACAAATTGTCCTTCCTACCCACCAAGCAGCTTTTTAAAAAAGCCTTTAAAGGCAGTCGTCATCACATTTCTGCAGTTTTCAGAATTGCGGTAGAATTGTGTCATCGCTCACATGCTCTTCCTTTCCACTGGCAGGTCCCGTAAAACCTGTTGCCTGAGTATCCCTGCAAGTGCAGAATGCGATGCCATGCACCAGATTCGCATCCTGAAACCTGCTTGAGTATTTTTTGTACGCAACATAGACATAGATACATAGAGACAGAGCGAGCCAGAAGGGGCCTCCCGGGCCATCTAGTCTGACCCCCCTGGCTCCAGCCGGCTCCACTCACGACATGCCCGCCATGTGCATGTCCAGCCTGTCCTTGAACACCCCACCGATGGGGCCTCAACGACCTCCCGGGGAAGCCCGTTCCACCCCCTCGGGGTCCCGACTGTCAGGAAGTGCTTCCAGGCATCCAAATAACCAAAGCAAGTTGTCGTCCTGTTACAGAGGAAAGCTTGGAACGATGTGAGCAGTGCCTAGGAAAGCTTAACAAATTCAGTGGATTCAAGAAAAACTTTCTGAGTGAAGCAAAAAGCGAGCTAGCCGGAACAGGGGGCCCTCTTCCCCCTCTGGTCCTGGGTGCAATTATTATCCCTGGCCTGTGCAATGCACAGAGTTCCATGGGGCAAGGCAGGCAGGTGTAAAGCAAAGCTCGGCTCAGGAGTGCATTCCTTAGGTCATTGGAACGACGCTCCGCCTTCCTTTTCTGGTCAAAGAAACAGTGGCAGGCTCTGTGCTCTTCCTGCCGTACCTTGGAATCCTGTAGCTGTTGTCATTTGAGCCACAGGACGTGCTGGTGGAGGCGGGTTTGCTTTGGCTGCAGCCTGTAATGGGTTGAAAAGGCAGACTCCGTCAGGGCAGACCAAAGGTGCTGAGTGCGTTTGACCTAGCAAAAGGGGTGCAGTGCACGGGACCAAAAAAACCTTCAGGTCAGACAGGACGTTACGTTGAACGCGTGTCCGGTACCCGAACAGCACCCCCATTCAGTCACACTCGCGCGCGCAACCCCACGGCTGGTGGAACGTGCTTTGCTCTGTGGCGGCGGCATTCCTGCCCCCTCAGCCCTCCTTTGGCGGTGCGCTGCCGGCTGCCGCTACCGCGAGTGTATTGGCGCACCGGCTGCCTCGGAGGGAGAGGCGCGACGGCAGGGGTCTTTCTAGAGCTGTCCGGCCATGATTCAGCGTTACGTGCCGCAATACTTGACTGAACCACTCCGGGAGGGAATAAAGCACCACGTAAGCCAACCGATGCCAGGGCCACGGAGCGGAGGGGGGCCTGAGCCCGTGGCTGCCGGTTCCAGCGACAGAACCCGCCATGCTGAACGCGCCGCCCTGCTTCGCCCTTGGAGGGAGGAGCAGCAATCACTTCTCCGTCCTGCTGAGGGCCGAGCAAGGAGCAGTTGGTTTAAAATGCAGCATGGTAGATCCATGTCGAGCGTCCAGGGAGAACTCCCGGAGCAGTTCAGCGCTGGAGTGGAACTGTGTTGGCGAGGTTGCAGGATCTCTCTTTCTTTCCCTGAGGTTGGAGAGGCTTCTGTCAGGCACAGTTTAGATACAAGAGAACGGGTGCGTTTGCACATAACACTGTGCATGGTTTCACGTGAGGTGCATGAGCATCAGTGCCTTCCCCCCTTTCTGCTTTACCATCTCCTCTCGTGCCCTCTCTTCTCCATCTCTTGCCATCTCTTCTCCTGTGCAGCCAGGAAGAGAAATGAACTTGAATTCAGCTTCTCTTTCGCAGACTTGTGGTTTCTTGTTATGTGCAAACCACATGGAAACTCTTAAGTCGTGGGTCCTCAAACTATGGCCTGCGGGACGGATCCAGCCTGCTGTGGCCATCCACCCGGCCCGTGCCGCTGTTCACCGCCCCCGCGCTTGCTTGCTGCGAAGGCCGGTGAGGCGGCATCGGGCGTGCACAGTGGTGGCTCTCTTGCTTGCTCGCGAGCAAGCCGCCGCCTGCCTCCTGTACGTGCGCGCTCACCGCTGCCTCGCAGCGCGGGCAGGGAAGTGGTGGCTCGCTCGCTTGGAGATGGTTTTGGACTCGCTGGGAGATCTCTGAGTGAGCGAGCCACCGCCGTGCGCGCCCAATGCCACCTCGCACGCGCCCGATGGCACCTTACCGGCTCACATCCCCAGGCACCCCCACCTCACTGGCTGCGATGGTCAGCACAGCCTTTCACCTGGCCCTCTATTCAAAAAGTTTGAGGACCCTGCTCTAAGTCAACTGGTAAACAAGCCAACAACAAACCCTGTTTTGTTTTGCTGGCTTGTTTTGATAGTTGACCCCAAAGGGAACAATAAACCACAAACCCCGTCGGACAAAGCCAAATTGTGGTTCAGGCCTCTTCTTCGTCTCGGGGAAGGAGCGGGCTGCAGGGGTGCTCGTGGGCTTGCTGCTTCACACAGACTCGTTCTGCTCATGCAAGCAGTGCTAAGTTCTTTGTTTAAAACCTTTTTAGACCATCCCTCACTGAAGTCTTGGGACGGCTTAACAATAAGAGGGTTAGCGTTACCTGTAACAGCTGCTGTTGGCTTAATTCAGGCAGCACACCAAGCCATGGTTAAGGAAGGTTATCTACAAATTAGTGGTATGTCTGACCTTAGCAACCATGGTCTGCATCGTCCGACAAGCAAACTGGGAGACCTTGTCTGAAGTGCATTGACATTCCCTGGCTTTTGCCTGCTATGGTTTGACAAGATCCCTGATTGGAAACCCGTAGTTACAGCCATAGGAAGAAAATTGAGTCACCGAAAACATGGTGCTGGAGGAAGGCTATGCAGATACCCGGTACCAACAGAAAGGCAGGCAGTTGGGTCCTAGATCAAATCAAGCCAAGGCTTTCCGTTGGAGCAGAAATGGCAGAGCTGAGGCTGCCCTGGGCGAGAAGGCAGGGCGCCCTGAGAAGGCGTCGTGTCAGGGGAAGGCCGAGGCAGCAGGCGAAAGGGGAGGCCAGAGCTGAGGTGGGCTGGGTCCGCCAGGGGAGCCCCGGCCTTGCGCTTGGGAGCGCTGAGCGGGGCTGCCACGCACCGGGCGCCTTGGCGGGCTTGCCTTCACGGGGTCCCCAGACGTCGGAGGCAGTGTGGTGGCACGGAGCAGCAACAGCAGCCCTGTTTCAGCCTCCAGAGGTTGCTGACTCAGCCACACAGGAGTGAAGTTAACATAGAAACAGAGCGAGGCAGAAGGGGCCTCCCCGGCCATCTAGTCTGACCTAGTTAAGTTAAGGAGTGGGGCCCTGCAAAAAGCAGAAAAGAATGCCTGAAAGGATCTTAGTCTGTGGATCTACCTGTCGGATGCTGGAAGTGCCGACCATGCTTCGGGCTCTGAGCTGTGATCGGCACAAGCCCTGCCCTGGCATGATGTCTGAACGTCATTAACCTCACCGGAGACTGGAATTGGACTAGGCCACGGGGGTCAGAGAAGTTTAAGCGAGGGTGGATTGGCATGGGCAAGGGTTTTAGGCTCAGGAAAGGAAGTGTGGCTTTGGGCGGGACTGAAAGGATGCAGCAGCAGCAAGACTGGACATCTCCTTGAGCATGTCAAGGGAAAGCACCCCCCCCCCCCCGAGGGCTTCCCCTGCTGGCTCTTCTGGGCCTGGCCAGAATTGCGCAGCCTGCAGGCGCACAGGGCAGGGGCACAGGAGGCTGCTGTGGGACAGGGACTCCCCAGCTGCTGCGGGGCCGAACGTGGTCGCGGGTACCGTTTTGATGTGGATTTATTCCACAATATGTTTTGAATTATTGATTGCCTTCATGCCTGGACTTTTATGATAAATGCTGCATATAAATCCAATAAAGAAAGAGTATCCCGCTTCCCAGCAAATCTGTTCCTTGTCGAGACAGTCCGGCGGGGCAGGCCTGGCGCGTGTGGCCTGAGCGAGGTCCCGCCAGCCCTGCCCGGCTCCCCCGCCGAGCAGGCGTTTCCGGGCTTTGCGTGGGCTTTGCTCTGGAGACCAGCTGCCTTTACCGTTGCTGCTGCTCCACACAAGGACATTTTATGGGCAACTCGGCCCCCACTCCTTCCTAACACCCTCATCCAATACTTCACTAAGAAAACAAAATGCCGTCAGCTGTGCTGTAGTGCAGAAATATCTCTGGAGCACAAACGGGAATCAAAGGCGTTTCCAGGGGCTGTGCCGCGATCGCGTCCCAGTCTCCCGCATTGCAAGCCAACCGTCTGGCGGGGGACCGTTTCCCTGCTCCCCGAGCAGCAGGGCAGCCACTCCTTCCTGTGCAGCTCACCCAGGGCCGCGTACTTTTATTTATTTATCCATGTATTTAAATTATATTCAGAGCCCGCCTTTTTCCTTTCAAGAAACACAGGCAGCTCACATAATTCCTTTCCTCCTCTCAGTCTTATCCCACAACAACAGCCCTGTGAGGCAGGCTGCACTGCGTGGCAGGGACTGGCCCGAAGCCACCCAGCGAGTTCCATGGCGGAGGGGGGACTAGCGCCCGGATCGCCGGAGTGCCAGTCGTCTCCCGGCTGGCGCGCTACACGCTGCAGTGGCTCCTCCCCACGCGGGCAGCGATCCTCTTGAACCTGGGTTACATCCAGTGGAGGGCAGTCCCGTGCGGCCGTCCCCCTCATGGCTGGGTCGTCGCGGATTGGCTGGAGGGCAGCGTGGAAGCGGCAGCACTGCAGAGGCCCAAGCTGTGGCACCTCTGGCAGCCGCGCCGGTCAGAGCATCTCCTCCATTAACACCTCCTGTTTCTCTCTGGACAGGTAAAACTGAGCTGGCCAAACAGACTGCCAAGTATCTGCACAAAGATGTCAAGAAGGTAAGACCCATTCAGTTGTAGCGGAGCTACCTTGCTTTCCCAGGCGCGCTTTCCTGGAAGGGAAAGGGTCCCAGGAGCCTCAGGGCTGGTCTCCATTGCATTTTTCATTTAATTTCATGTGTTACCTTCTATTCCACCCGACAGCCGAGGGACCGTGGTGGCTGGGAGTTGTAGTTGCAGAGTGGTAGCCCGAAACATCTGGAAGGCACCTTAAGAAAGCCGCCCGGGGTGTTTGATACCGCCGGCTCCTGGTCCTGAGACGCCGCCTGGCGGAGACTGGCTCCCCTTTGCCCGAGCTCAGGCACGGGGAAAGCCGCCGATGCGCTCGTGGCCAGGCAGCGTGTGAGTCCTGAGCGCTGGGGATCGGACTGATGGACAGAGCGGCCGGGCCATAAGTGTGGGGACCCTGCCAGCTGGCAGCGCAGGGGAACAGGTGGGACGGGGGGGACAGGGCAGCTGGGAAGTCCTGGGCAGGAGGGTGCTCGGGGTGCCTCCCGGTCGCCGTCCCGCTTGCGGCAGCCGCTCGCGCACCCCCTTCACCCTCTGCTCTTGGCCGGGATCCTCCACGCGAGACACGAGGGGCTCCCAGCTGCAGGGCCCACGCGCTCGAGGGCGGCTTTCTTGGAAGGAGTGGGCGGTTGACCCACTTGCGGCTGCCGGGAGGGCTGGCAGGAGCGGGGCGTCCGAGGCCCAGGACCGCTGCGGGAGAAGCCGCCCCCACCCCCCTGGAAGCATGAGGGCGCATTTGAGGGCGCGCACGTTCCTCTGGTAGGGTCTGGAACCACACTGGAGTCCGGCTGGGAGGGGCGTGCCTGCACTTTCCACGCGCAGGGGGACCGGTCCCCGCGACCGAAGCCACTCCGGACACGCCGCCAGTGCCGTGGCCGCCGTCGTGGCGTCTCTGGCGGTGAAGCATCGCCGGCGCTGGAGCCCTGCGGGTCCCCGTTCGATTGTGGCTCTCGCCCTCCCTCGCTAAGGTGGCCAGCAGCTCCCCATCCCACTCGCAGCTGCCAAGGACAAGCAGGCTGCCCTCATTCATTGGCATGCACAGGACAAGCGGTTTATTAGTGTCCAATCAATTTGGTGGCTATTTAATTAATTAATGCAGCAGAGTGGGGGTCACTGCATGTGAAGGAAGTTATTGGAGAAGGACGGTGGGGAGAGCACAGCTCCAGCAGCAATTAGCGGATGAGGGCAGTTCTCGCTTCTGTGCCAGTTCTCAACTTTTCCCAAACCGCCAAATGAATCCCCCTCGTTTCTTCGTGTTCCTGCAGGGTTTCATACGGCTGGACATGTCCGAGTTTCAGGAACGGCATGAGGTTAGTAAGACGGCGTATTCTGTACTTCCGTTTCGCCCTGCAACATGCACACCCTGCAGGTCCAGAAGCGTGTCCCGGTGCGCTCCTCACAGCCCTCTCGGGTCAGAAGGGGGGCCGTTCCCTGTGCCCTCCTGCTCGGAGGCCGGCTCAGCTGGGATCTGGGGTGGACCTTTTTCCATGGCGGCCCCAAACTCTTTGGAATTTACTGCCCATCACCAGGCAGAAGCATTTTTATACCATTTCCCCTGCTATTAAAAGATTTGTTGTTTGGTCACAGTCGTGCCCGGCCCATCGCGACCCCATGGACAGCATTCCTCCAGGCCCCCCTGTCCTCCGCCATCCTCCAGAATCCACCCAAGCCCACACCCACTGCACCAGTGACCCCATCCGGCCACCTCATCCTCTGCCACCCCCTTCTTCTTTTGCCGTCAGTCGTTCCCAGATTAAAAGAGGGAGGAAGTCAGAAAGCAGATGCCTGATAGAGGAACTAAGTACATGGCTTTTTAAAGAGAGGAAGCACAAGAGTCCATTCCAGGGGCAGGCAGTCTTCCTGGGCCTCAGGCACCTGACTCACCTGTCCCTCTTACCCAGGTGCTCCCTTCTATGCCTCCAGATTGCCCGACATGAACAAACAGAAATCCTCGCATGTTCTTTAAGATGTAGCCTGAATATTTTGTCCAGCATCAGCATCCATGGGCAAATGGGCCAGATTTACTCCATCTCAGCCATGGATTCCCCCACTTCTCAATGCAGACCGTCAGGGACATTGGCTCTTTCTTGTCCTTGTCACAAAAGGACTGGCGGAGCCCCTGAACTGAAATCAGATCCAGCCCCTTGTGCAGGCAGAGCTGCTTTAACCCCCCCCCCCGCCATGCACATTTTGGTGTGATTTTTGCTGCCCTCTTCCAGGTTGCCAAGTTTATTGGCTCCCCACCAGGCTACGTCGGCCATGAGGAAGGCGGGCAACTCACAAAGAAGCTGAAACAGTGCCCGAACGCGGTGGTCCTCTTTGATGAAGTGGACAAGGCCCACCCAGATGTCCTCACCATCATGCTGCAGCTGTTTGATGAGGTAAGATCGGCTCTTTAAGCACCCCTGCACCCTGCCCACCCCCCACAGGTCCCTGTGGTCACCTCAGAGTTTTACTCGAACTGGCGCTCTGCGGTGCCAGCCCCAGATTAGCCAGTGCTGCTGCATGAGATTCCAGCATGCGCCCATCCCAGCATGCACGATTCAGCCATGCGCCCTTTCTTTCTCGCTGCCTCCGACGGCCCGCTCGCCCCTGCATCAGGTGGAAGAGGCAGAGGGATCAGGCTTCCGGCCCGGTCCTAAACCCTCGCGCCCTCGCGTTGTCCCCAGCACCTCCGCAGTCCCCGGCGTTTGGAGGGGGGCCTCCCTGCCTCGCGCTGCAAGTCCAGAGAGGGCCCCCCTTGCACCGGGGCCTCGATGGCAGGGGGAGCCTTGGCCTGCCAGCCTTGGCCTGCCTGCGCTTCTCCCCGCACCCCTGCCAAGCGCACGGCATGTCTGTGTGGAGCGCGTCAGGTGAGCGCTCTGGGAAACATGGGCCCCTGTGCACCCTCCCTCAGCACGCTGAACGCCACTCACCTGTACCCGCCAGGGGTAACCCCCTACTGCACCTTCCGTGATTCCACGTTGCGGATGACAAGGCGGTGCGTTGAAAGCAGCTGGGTGTGCCTGGGAGTCGTTTCTGCCTCCGGGCTGCTCCTGTGGTCGAGCGGGTAAAGGTGTTTCCCCAGTGCGCCCATGTGCGCTGCAGTTTGAAACAGACCGAGTTCTGTGCAAGATTCTTGGGTTGAACTGAATTAGGCCGTTTTTTAGGTTGCATCTTTGCTTTCTGTCGGCCATGAAGGCAGGAGATAAGACTCGCTCTGAGGCCTGAGCTGAGTGCTGGGCCCTGCTGAGCTCCAGCTCTGCTCCTCTGAGGGGAGCCGCTGCGATCAGCAATAGAGGGGCGGTTTCCTGGCTTCTGTGCTGCCCTCCGGGTTGAAATGCCTCTCCTGAGGCTCAGTGGCTGGCAGAGTAAGAGCTGTAAGCTAAAATAGCTCCGCATTTTTGGGAGGTTTCAGTGCCATCCCTTTTGCTTTTGCCTCTGCACACCCCAGTGCCTCCCTGAAGCAATGCTTGCCCCCTGGATCGGGGGCATAGAGGGCGCGCCCCCCCTGTGACGGGGTCCTGCAGCCTCCGGCTCTTACACGACACACTGCTGTCCTGGGGCTCCTGGCTCCCTCACTCTTGCTCCCGTCCCTGAAGCGAAGGACCCGGCGACGCAATGCGGCAGGACGTGTGGCTGAGAGGGTAGCCAGGCGTCTCTGGGCAGGGTTGCACGCTTGTTTCAGTGCCGGGGGGCACTGTATGCGCAGCCCGCCCGGAGGTGTCGGGGGCTTGCACCCACCTGCATGCCGGGGGAGCAGAGAGAGGCATCCCTGCCATCTGAGGGACTGGAACAGAGCAGAGAGGTGGCTCTGAACCGGGTGGGAAGAGTGGGCGCTCTCCACCGGCGAGGCGAGGCCTGGAGGGCGGACACGGGAGCACCGTCAAAGCCGCACATGCGCAGCCTGCAGGGCGGCCCTCCTGCCTGAGACCGGAGGTGCTTCTTCCTCCTGGCTCGGTTGTTCCTGGGAGGGGAGGGTGTTTTTTTCCCAAGGATTAATAACACTGGTATTTTCTTGCATAGATCACAGTGGCAGCAACTAAATGTGAAATCAATTCCTGAACTGCCTGCCTGACAGAGCAATAACTGAAATGTTAATCCCAGGCACCCGACGCAAGCGTGTCATTCTGCTGGGCCCGGCTGCTCCTGGCAGCATTTTGGGCGGGGGGGGGCATTCCCTGCGCCCGCCCTGCCCCCAGAATCGGTGCTTCTGAAAGGCTCTTGGCCGTGTGCTCCTGGGGAGGAGGGGAGCCAAGCACGTGGCCTCGTGGTGGTGGCCCTCCTGCGCCGCTCTGCGTGCCTGTCGCTCCCCTGCAGCCGGTGTGTGCGGTGCAGAATGGGAGGAGGTTGCGGTCTCAGGTCTCGGTGAGCCGCTGGAACGGCCCCCTTGTGCCGGCGATGGCTCTTTATAGCTCGCGGCAGTTTCACTGCCAGCCCATTCGACCAGCTTCCCCTGCGTCCGTGAGGAGACAGAGACTCTCCCCGAACACCAGGCAACTCTGAGTCCACGCCAGAAGGGCCTGGGCAGAAGGGGAGCGACTCGCACGCCCTGGGCCTGCTGCAGCGCCCTTGACAGGCGGCTCGTGACCTCTCCCTGCAAAGACCATCCCGAAGTAGGCTTGCAGCTCGCAGGCCCCGCCGGATCCAGTCCTGCATCCTGTCCCAAAGAATGGTCTGCCCAGTAGGTGCTTCCGAGCATCAGGCAAGCAAGGAGGAAGTCAGCAGCGTCTCCTGCTTGGGCCCGTCAGAGCACGGGGCTCCCAGGTGGGACGGCCCTGCAGTCCTTCCGCAGCCACTGGGCCTCTGTCCAGAGACTCTGTCCGTAGGAGGCGGCCCTCGGCCTTAGAGGGTTCTGGAGAGGGGCTGCCAGTCTGTGATGGGCCAGGCAGGCCGGTGGCACGGGCTCTTCTAGAGCAGCCCCCAGGCTCTTAGGACTGGCGGGGCCTCCGGTCCGACCCAGTGCAGCTCTTCCTGTGCTCATCACCCGCCTTCCAAATCTTTGAAGACTGCGGGCCTTCAGAGAGGAGATCTTTCCAGATCTTTCCTTCCTTGGATAAGCAGGTACAGGCCTTTGGGCCACCTTTCATGGGACCTGCCTTCCAGATTGTCTCCCACTGTTCCCCTCCCAGCATCTCCCAGGCTCCTCGCCATCCTCCTCTGACTCTCCTCCCGCCAGCAGAGCAGAACAGTCGATACAGTCGAGGGTGGTCTTGTCCCGCCCCTGAAGCGCCTGCACACACTGCAGCGCTGCTTGAAAACCCCTGGCCGGGACTGGCACGCGCATGGTTTTGCCTGATGGTGCAGAATCTTCCCAGGGACACATCCTCGGGCCTATTCAGAATCCCGGTAATCCCAGTTTTTATTTAAAAACGGGGTGTTCACCGCCCCGGAGTCCATCCAGGGGCCACCTGCCCTGGCCTCTTCCCTCCGATCAGCAGCAGCTCCTCAGGGTCTCTGCCTGAGGGCCCCCCCCCCCCCCCCCCCCCTGAAGTGCCGCAGTTCTGCCCCCAGCTGTCGCTGTCCTCACTCCTCCTTCGGGCCCCGGCTCCCTCTCCGCAAGTTGCTCAAAAGCCAGAGAGCACTTGGGCCGCGTCCATTCGGGGTCCAGGGGCCAGGAGAGTCGGAGTAAAGTGAGCTCATCCACGGGGATCGCACCGTTTCGGCTTAAAGCGTTTTTTCAGTGTTTCCCAGGTGTCCGGGTGCCTTTTCTTCTGTTGTCCACCCACTGACAGAAACAATTTTTTTACAGGTTTTTTGTTCCGTTTGTGCTAATTAGCATTGGTGCCGATGCACAAATTAGTTAGCATTGAATTAGCCCTGATGTCTGTTTGCCCAGGTTAGCAGGTAAGTGACGAAGCCGCCCCTGTCGGCAGCCGCCACGTAGCACGGAAGATGCCCGCCTGCTGCACATGGGCCGCCCGGTTTCCTCGGCCGTCGCTCGCCCGAGTCGCGTGCGTCTTCATTCCATGGAATCAGTGGCGAGCTGCACCTGCTCCCCTGCGCGCACAGGTGGCCCGTGTGGGTGCACAGAGCCAAGCCTCACGGCTGGAGCAGCTCACGGCACGGCGGGCTGCAGGGCCAGCGAGCCCCTTCTGCAGAGTGCCAGCCTCCTCTGGACCGGCAGAACGAGGGGCTCCCTGGGGCAGGGAAACGCCTGCCGCAGCCCAGGGCAGCTTGGTTTTCCCGTGAGCGGCCGTCGTTTCACCTGGGCGCCGCACGGGCCTTTCAGTGCCCACCTGGCTGTAATTTACGTGCCGCTGGTGTCAGGGACCTCGCGAGGCAAGCGGCACCGCGGGGCAGAGCGACAGGGACTCCTCGCAGCAGCCCCTGGCGTTGCGCAGCGAGGGGTTTGCATCCGCGCCGCGTGGCCTGGGTTCGTCCCAGGATCTCAGGTCTAGATTTCTCCTCGGAGCAAAGAGGCTGAGTTCAGCGTGACGCTTTTCTCCCATGGGGGGCCTGGGCACCTCTCCGAGGAGAAGACGTCAAAGCAGAGTGGAAGTTCCATGCAGGGGTCCCAGCGCAATTCACAAGGTGGCACCGGCAGAGCAGAGACCCTGCTCACGGGCCTTCCTTTCTGGCCAAACCCTCGTGGGTTTCCCCTTCCCCCGGCCTCCTCCTCTGCGAACATCTTGGGGGGGGCCGTGCTACCCCTGGGGTCCTCCTGTGCGGGCTGGTTTGCCACTGCGAGCAGAACGCTGGACCGGGGGACCCAGCGCCTGATCCAGCGAGGCCCCCCTCAGGACGGCGCTCAGACGCTCGCCTCCGCCCAGGGCTGGCCACCGCCTCCCCATGCCCAGCTGCCGCCTTTTGTCCTCGAAGGGCCGACTGACGGACGGGAAGGGCAAGACCATAGACTGCAAGGACGCCATCTTCATCATGACCTCCAACGTGGCCAGCGATGAGATTGCCCAGCACGCCTTGCAGCTGAGGCAGGAGACCGCGGAGCTGAGCCGGAAGAGGATCGCCGAAAAGCTGGGTACTGCTTCCCCCTGCGCGCGCCCCAGGTGTGCTGGCTGCAGGTCCCCCCACCCGCCGTGGGAGTTGCTGCCCGAGACGCTGGGGGGCGTTGGCTTCCTCCGCCTGTGCCTGGCGTGCTCTTGCCTTCGTAGCGGATCCACAGGAGCCGCAGGAGACCCTCTCTGGTCAGAGGCCGGGAGCCTCCCTCCGGCCTTGCCAGCCACCCTCCTCTCCAGAGCCATCCTCTGCCCAGGCTCCTGGGCAGGCCGTCCCCCCCGGTGGGCCCCTGCAGCTGGGGGCGAGAGTGGGGCCGTCCCTCCCAAGTAGCCGCCCGTTGAACGGCAGGCCTGGGGCCCCAGGGCACCGCGGCGGCAGCGCTGCCCCGGCCGCAGCGGTCTGCCTGGCAAGCCGGCTGCGGCGCAGCGAGGCCAGCCGCCTGCACGCCGGAGGAGCGCTGGGGCAGCAGATGGGCAGGGGTCGGCGTGCGCCAGAGCGGCGCTCCCGGGGAGTCGGGCCGCGCCCTCGGCGCAGGGCGGAGAGAAGCGCCAGGGAGCCTCTGGGGAGGGGCTGCCCAGTGGGGCCGTGGCTGGGAGCATAAGCCGAGGGCCCAGGGAGCCGCGCCGTTCCTCTGGCCGGGCCGTCGGGGAGGGGCGCCCGGCTCCTGGGTCTGAGAGAGGCCGGCCCTCGAGAAAGCGCCCTTCGCCCAAGGCAGACGTGGCAAGGCTCTGCAGCGGCCTTTGCGGCCCACGAGGCGCGCAGGGGGGGCCGGGAAGCGGAGTGGGGGCCGGCCCGTGGGGGCCTCGCCACGTGTCCTCAGACTGGGGGGCTGCAGGGTCCTCCGGACCGCCGCCTCTGGCCAGCAAAAGGCAGCGGACGTAGTTTAGGCTTCCAGGTCGTGCAGAAGATCCGCAGAAGGGGCACGTGGAAGGTGGGGCGCCTGAGGGCCTGAGGCAGGCACCCCTGCGGGGAGCGCCCGGGGCCTGGAGTGTCCACCGGGCCTCCCTCCCTGCTCTCTCGCCATTCCCGGTCCACACCCGCCCCTTGTTGCGCCCGCCACCCCACGGCAGGAAGCCCCTCTGAATGGGGGGCGGCTGCGCCTGCCGCGACTCGACTGGGTGCCCGGGGCTGCCGCTCCCAGCCTGCTGCCCGGCGTACGTGCGGAAGCGCCGTCCGGCGGATGTGGGGAGCGCCAGGCTGGGCGAAGCTGCCCCGTGCAGCACGTGGGGTAGTCGCGCTTGGGCTGCCGGGGCCGAGACTGGCCCCCTCTCGGGGCGGAGACCGCCTGGCGGGGCCCGCGTGAGAGCGCCTGAGATGCTTCGCAGCGATGGGCAGGCCAGCCCGCCATCCCTCCTCCTTTCTGGTGTCTGTTAAGGTTGACGGAAGACGCAAAAGTCAGCTAGACTGGGGCATGGCGAACTCTGCGCCAGCAGCCCCCCAGAAGCCTGCTCGGCCAGGGCAGGGGGCCAGTCGCTCTCCCTCCCTCCATTGCACTCCCTTTGTGGAGACGGGCCACGGCACCCGCCGGGCAGAGGGAGCTTTGCCGAGCCCAGCCGCGGCTCTGGAGGGCGGGTGGCTGCCGCCTGGCGCGCCCGGAGGGAGTCGCGGGCCCACGTGCGGCAGGGCCCAGGCCGAGCGCCGCCTCTGCTTCAGGGCTCCTGCCCGCAGGCAGCTTTTGCCAGGGCCCACGTCCAGCCTGGCTCAGGCGCAGCTTCCCGACGTTCGGCTCTCCCTCTGACTCCATTACTGATTCGCGAAGGCACGGACCCGCCTGTTCAGGGTCCCCCTGCTCCGTACTGCCTGCCCTGGACCGGCAGCGGCTGTCTGGGGTCGGAAGCAGAGGGCTTCCTGGCTCTGCCAGCGAGATGCTTTATGCGGGGCTGCATGCGAAAGCAGGTGTCCCCCCCTTCCGCTGAGCTGTGCCTCCGCAAGGAGGGGGGGCGGGGGGGGCATACGCAGAAGGAAAGTGGAAACGGGGGGTCCCTGTGAAGTTGCTGCAGGGCAGGGGAGGGTCTTGTTTCGGGCCCTCCCTGCAACCACTCACATGGAGCCGCCCGCCCTGCCTTGCCTTCCAGACGATGTCCAGATGACAGACAAGATAACCATCTCCAAGCAGTTCAAGGAGAACGTTATTCGCCCCATCTTAAAGGTACAGATGGTGCTGTTTACCGTTGACCCCACCCCGGGCTGCCCGGCTCCCGAAGCAGGAGCTTCCTGATGCTTTGATGTTTGCTTTCCGTCCCCTTCCGCGGTAGAGGAGGCTTCCATTGACTAAAGGGCTGTGGGGCACCCGTTTTACCTGGGCAGGAGGGTGTCACGAGTTTGCCCCAAGCCAGCCTCCGGGACAAGGGGGGTGTGCACCTCCCCAGTGGTCTGGAAGGACCGGGGCCCTGTGCCTGGCGTGGCCAGCTGTCCCTCAGGCCGGCAGACCTGTGCAGCCACGCGCCGCTGCAGACGGGGGAGGCCTCGTGCCACGTCACGGTTGGAGCTCCAGGCGTGTCCGTGAGCCCCAGCAAAGGGCTCTGAGCTTCATGAAGAGCCCGCTCTAAATCTGTGGCGTGAACCTCGCTAGCCCCCGTCTTCCAGCAAGCGCACCTGCACACGTCCCAGGCCGAGTTTCTGCCCCGCGAAGAGGAGTGGCCTCCCGGCGCGAGGCTGTGCAGAGCCCCCGTTCTTCTGCCGTGCAGTCCAGCCCACCGCCTCTCCTCTCTCCCTTCCGCAGGCTCACTTTCGAAGGGACGAGTTCCTCGGCCGCATCAATGAAATCGTCTATTTCCTGCCCTTCTGTCACTCGGAGCTCATCCAGCTTGTCAACAAGGAGCTGAGCTTCTGGGCTAAGAGGGTAAGAACAGGGGCTGCCACCGCCTGGACTCAGTGCTTGCTTTGTCAGTGTCGCTGCTAAACACTACTACTGATTGTTAGTGCTACTACTGTTAAAACATTCAGAAGTCAGCTCCTGAAAATAAAAAATACAAGGGTAACACTGAAAAGCCGGTGTTCGAATACAGACATATAATTGAAAAGTAAAAAAGGCAAGGAAATTGAATCAGGAAAATTAGAGTCTTTGAGAAGAGCACATAAACACCTTTCTGTCTTGCTAATGAAGGTTAAGGCCAGTTCATCTTTCATGTATCTTTGCAATGAATTTGGTTCAATCCTGAAACTTGTACCCTTTAAGAGTAAAACAAAGCAAAGCGAGCATTTGCTTCTCACGGTCGCAGAGGCTTGTTTGAACCTGCCCAGTGGCCGCCTGTAGACATGGCCAGCCTTTGGAGGGTGGGGGTTCTGCGCCTTGCCTGTTTCCTGACCTGTACCGCCCTTGCCCGTCGCTCATCCCTGTGTCCCAGAGGTGGTGCTCCCGCTCCCTGACAGAGCCCCTGTGCGGCATACTGGACCTTGACTCGGCCCCCAGCAGAACCTGCAGGTAGGGCTGGGCGAGACCCGCCCGCAACCCCGGGGGCTGGAGCGTGGCTCCGTCCACGCGGGCTGCATGTCGCAGGGGTGCAGTCCTGCACGCCTGCAGGGCACCGGCGGGGATGCCTGGCGTCTGCCATCCCGAGCCGGACGGGCCGACACTCTGACTTGATTTTGGGCCCCTCCGGGTGCCGCTGTGAAAAACGCATGCAAACCTTGCTGAGGGAACACTCGCCCAGCGCTCCCCGGCGAGGCCTGTGCTGGGAACACAGGGCTGGAAATCCCGAGAGGTGGGAGCGCTGGCGGAGAGCGCCGGGATGGCATCCGGCAGGGGCCAACGCCACAGCCGCTGCTCAGGAGCGAGGAACGAAAGCCGTCGTCGCCGGATGGGGAGTGCTTGGCTCAGCAGCGCTGCAAGGGAGAAGCAGCTTGGCACTGTGGTGGACGCCAGCGGTGGATGCCGCTGCCAAAAGGGCAAACGCTATGTGGGGCTGCATTTATAGAAGCAGCATCCCCTCCGAAGCACGTGAAGGGCCAGTCCCCCGCTGCTCAGCCCTAGGCAGGCCTCGGCTGGAGTCCCGTGTCCACTTCTGGGCTCCTAGTTCTGGAAGGACGCAGGAAAGCCGGAAGGGTGCAGAGGAGGGCGGCGGGGATGGCTCAGGGCCTGGAGGCGAAGCCCTGTGAAAGACGGAGAGAACTGGGCATGCTCAGCCCCCGGAAGAGAAGGCTGGGGGGGCGGGTAGGAGAGCCCCCTGCAAGCCCCTGCAAGGCTGCCGGAGAGGAAGGGCAAGGACTCCTCTCGTCCCTTCCAGAGTGCCGGACACTGAACAACGGACTCGAGTTCAAAGAGACCAGATTTAGGCTGGACACGGGGAAGAATTTCCTCACTGTCCAAGCACTAAGGCAATGAAACCAGTTACTGGGGAGGTGGGGGGGGGGGACTCTCCTTCACTGGTGACGTTCAGAAAGCCTCTGGACTGGACAGCCACTGAGCAGGATGCTGTGACTTGGTGTCCTGCACTGACGGCCTTCTTGGCCCCTTCTAACTCTGCCATTCTAAGACTGCATGAAAACCTTTTCCTTCCTGGCTTCACACCCTCAGACCTTCCCCATTCTTTAGATAGGTGTAAGTCCCGCTGTTTCCAAGGTGTGTGGGCAGGAGAGGTTCACTCTGCATAACATGGTACAAGTAATGCGCCCCCAAAAGGATTGCGACGGGCCAGCTGGGCCATGGGACCGCGTCCCCTCGCAGCCCCCACGCCTCTGTGGGCGCCTTTTCCCAGGGAAGGAGCTGCGCTGCTCTGCCCTCCTCCTCCCAAGAGTTCGCTGGGCCGGATGCGCCTCCTGCGCGGCTCCAACGGGCTGCCTCTTCCTCCCCCTGCAGGCCAAGGCGAGGCACAACATCACGCTGGTGTGGGACCGGGAGGTCATGGACGTGCTGGCCGACGGCTACAACCTGCACTACGGGGCCCGCTCCATCAAGCACGAGGTGAGTGGCGGGGCAGCCGCCCACCCTCCCCTCCCCTCCCCTCCCCTCCCCTCCTGGGAGGCGGGAGCCTGCGGGGACGCCGCATTAAACAGGGAGCGGAACGGGGCACCCCACCAAAGTTCCCCTAAAGCTGCCGCCAGCCGTGGATGTCTCCCGGTCGCTCTGATCGCCTGCGGGTGGAATCCGGAGAGCGAAGGCCGGCTGCCGGCGGGCAGTGCCAAGGCCTCCCTCCTTGCCCTCTGTGCGTGCTTACGAGGCTGCCTCTCACGCAGGTATCCGAGACGGTCGCAGGAGGACCAGGTCTCTATTAAGGGCACGACCCTGTGCAGCCTTAGGCAGTTCCCAGCATGCCCTGCCCTCTTCTGCCTAACGATGCATAGGATCGCACCTTGCATCCTCTGGCCAAAGCCAGTTCCAGCAGTGTATAAACAGGATGCAGCTGGCCTGGGACGTTTGGATGGGCTCCCCCTTCTCTGCCCTAACACCTGATCCTGGCCTAGACCTGGTTTCTCATTGTGCCAGAGAGGAGCGCCCGGTGAGGGCTGCGCTTTGCCAGAGCGCTTCCCCGGAGCTGTTGACACACGGCCCGGGCCTGCTGGGCGCTTCCGTGAGAGCTGCAGGGGGGCTGCCTGCCTCCAGCGCCCCTCACGGCCTCCGCAGCTCATGCAGCAGGGCGGTCGGTGGTCTCACCTCTGCCCCCCAGGTCGAACGCCGGGTTGTCAACCAGCTGGCTGCTGCCTATGAGCAGGACCTCCTGCCGCGCGGCTGCACGTTGCGGATTGTGGTGGACGACTCGGACAAGCAGCTCCTGAAGGCGAAGGACGGCGCCTCGGCCAAGGAGGGCCACAAGAAAGGACCAACCCTGAGGCTGGAGATCGTCGAGGACAGCAGAAGCCGGAAGCTGGACATCCAGGCCCCCCTGGCCCCCGAGGAGATGTCCTGTCCCTTGTAGGCATCGGGGCGGGCTGCCGTGGGCTGCCTGCCACCGGCACGTGCCCCTGGCAGGGTCTCCAGACGGGTGGCCAGTAATAAAGCAGTCGTGAGACCTGGACAAGCCGCGTGCAGGTGATGGTGTGAGGAGGCCCGGTGGTTCTGGAGGTGGGGGCTCCTTGGGGCTCGCCAGCGCAGCGCAGTTGGGCCGGGATGACCCTGCAGAAGAAGGACTGGCGGTCTCTGCTTGCTCAGTCGGTGGGGAGTGGGTCGGGTCGGTTTCCTTCTCGGGGGGAGGACGGCACGAGCTTGCTCCTGTTGTCCAGAGCGCTGTGCTCACCTTTCCCAGGCTCCAGAACGGATGGTGCAGGTTGGGTGGGACCCATGTGAACCTGTCGCCCGGGGGGCGGGGGGGCTTTCCCGGGCACTTTTCTCAGCAATGTATCGGGTGATGAAAGAGTGGGGTGCTCTTTGCAGCCGCACAGGCACCATCCAGATCTTAATTTATTGCAATAAATGAAAGGTGAACATCAAAGGATCTCTCTCCCTTTCTGTGACTCTCGCGCAGTTAGGCTACCGTCCTTCAGAAAATCAGCGAGGCACTTCTGTGGGGAAAGCAGCGCAAGGGCGGCAGGAGCGCCGTTCCTTGGAGTGGGTCTGCGTGGGAGAACTCAGATTCCGTTGGATGGCGCCCTCAGACGCGTCCTCGGGTGCCGCTCGTGCCGGCGGCAGCACCTCAGCCCGACTCGCACGGCCCTTTGGTAGCCTCAAACATCATCAGGCAAGAGCGATCCTGGCAGGGCTGGAGGACGGGCAGGGGCACCTTGCCGCCGGTGCGCTGGGGGCGGGGGCGGGCGCGGGCTGCTCTCCTGCCCCCAGACGGACGCTGGAGTCAAGGGCAGTCCTGTCGGTTCCTTTATGTGTGGTCTGGGGCCGCCATCTTGCCCTTTGCCTCCAGCAGGGATGTTCGAAATCTGGTTTCAGTTTGCGTTTCATTAGGACCTACCTTACACTGCCTGGACCAGTCCTGGACTCAGGCACAATCTGCCGTCAAAGTCTGTACTTTTCAGAGCCCACAACATGCATTAGTCTGAAAAACACACATGAAAAAGGTGCTTTTGAAAAATACAGATACATTTTAATCTGTAGAAAAATAATACATTTCAAAGATTTGGAAAAAATACACATTTTTGGGAAAAAAACACATGAAATCGCCAACAGATTATCATGCGGAAGAAAGCTTTCCATCTCGAGCCAGAACAAACTTGGAGCCGGAACTTGGGAAACTGGGGAGCCTGCCCCCCTTCTCTCGGACAGCCGAATGTCCCGGGCCGCCCTTGCCAGGCAGCTTCTTGCACTTCCCAGTCTTGCTTCCTTACCTAGCATTAGATGGATTTTAAATTTGCAAAAAGACTCCTGCAAGCCGTGGGAGGGAAAGTGGAAGGCCGTGGCCAGGGAAGCGACGCCGTAGGCCCTTCAGCGGATGGTTGTTGCTTTTCATCAGAGTCCTAACCCACATGTGACGTTCCCCAGAAATGGGGCCCTCGCTAGGAGCAGAAAGGGGGGCCGCTGGGGAAGTCGTGCCAGCCCACACCCAAGAAACTGCGGGTGCGAACATGCTTCGGGCGTGGATTGATCGATTGATCGCCAGCGAGCATATATAACTCTGATAAGTATGCACAGACTCGGCCCCATTGATTGAGTTTGCCTCGAGGTTTTGTCTGCTAATCGAATTAGAGCCAGAGGATTGAGAACAAGGGAGAAGCAGAATAGGAATACCTTTATTATGATGATTATTTATCAGTTTTAGCACTACTTTGGCACCCCGAAGCACTCTGCTTTTCTTATTTATTCTGTGGAGCAGCCGAGAGTCGGTCTCCTTATGCTCCACCTTGTCTGCAAGAGCAAGTGCTGAGCCCGCCGGAGGCCCTCTGCCAAGCTGGGCCCCCAGATGTGCTGGACCGCGGCTCCCGGCACCCGTGGCTAGCAGGGCCGTGGAGCATGTGCAAGGTACCTGGCTGGCGCCCGTTGTGGCCCGAGGGGCCGGGGCCCTGCTTTTCCGAGAGCGGATTCGGCTTCTGCTGCCCCCAGCGTGCCCACTGCGTACCAGCCGTCCCTCTCGGGAGCACCTGTCCTTGCAAAAGGTGCCTTGGTGGCCGTTGGGGATGGGTGGGGTCCTGCCTCCCGCACTGTGATCTTCCAAGGGAACAGGTGCGCTTGGGACCATGATTTGGGGTTCCTTGGAGGGTGCCTGGGAGTTTCCTCATGGGATAATCCAGTCAAGGACCTCTGATCCTTTCTCATTCGTGAACGGGCGGGAAGTTCCCCTCGAGGTGGGATGGATGGGAGGAAGGTGGGCTGCATGGGGATGGGCTGTCTGCATGGGAGTCAGCCCAGCTTCTGCCCCGGAAAGCGTTTGGGTAGCGCGCCTCTTCCCCTCGTGCAGCTCCCTCTGGGGCCTGGGAGGCACGGTAAAATACCCCTTTGAAGGGGAGGGTTCCTCACGGATCCATGGCAATAAAGCAAAAGTACCCAGGACCCCAGAGGTCAAGAACATGGGGCCAGGACTGGGTGCTCCCTGGTGCAGGTCCCCACTCGGAGCCGGAGCTGGACTGGGCGACCTGGGCCTGATCCTGAGGTCACGGCCCACTTCACCGCACGTGCTTTTCCAGAAAGTCTGGGCTCCTTGCAGCCCCCCGCCACACACCCTTCTCTTCACAGCACACAGAGCGGAAGAGGGGCTGCTGCAGCCTTCACCGGCCGTGGCAATCGAGCGACACAAAGCCCTCTTGGTCCCACCCTTTCCGATGGGCTCAAGCTGGGTTCTCGGTGACTGTCCCGTGGTGCGGGATTCCCTTGTCAATTTGACCCAAGACCGAGGCGATGAGGGAGGCTTGGTCAGCGTGATTCCACCTGCACGTCGTCTCTGCCAAGGACAGAGTGTCCCTGGCCCCCAAGGGGAGCGAGGAGGACAGGCCCCCAAGGGCCACAGAGGGCCACCTTCCGCTGGTGGAGCTGGAGTGGGGGAGACTTGAGTTCCCCCCAGTTTGGCACCCTGCGGAGAGTGTGCAGGGAGTCCAGGCAGTGCTCCCGCGCCACCTCCTGCCCCATAGCCCCAAGGGCAAGCGCAATCTCACCGACCCACCGCCTGAACAGAACCACACGGCTCCCCTGCCACTGTGAGTGTGCCCCTTGCCCTGGAAGGAGCACTGAGGCTGGTGGGGAAAGGCAGAGTGGGACTCCGGGCTGGGGGCCCGCGTTGAGCCGCCCACACCTGTGCAAAGGCTTGTGGGAACTGCTGGGATGGGGCAGTGCGTACTGGACATGGGCCGGGGTGCTGAGCCCAGAAAATCCAGGTTCACCTCCCCAGTCCACTGCAGTCACTGGGACAACTGGTGGCTGTGATGCTAAACGTTTCAGTGGCTTTCAGAGAACAGGTGTGCCAAGGCCTTACCTGCCTCTTTGCCCCTTCTCCCCCACCTTCCCATCTAAAGTGGGCGCTAGTCGGGGGTCCCAGCTCAGCCCCCTTGAGCCAACCTGGCCCCTTCCCCGCAGTCACTGGCTTCACCCCCCTTTTGCTTTAGGCACCCTGAAACTCACCTGAAATGGAGGGGGCGCTGCTCCCCGGACTTAGAATATGCCCCAAATGCCTCCAAATCAAATCCAATTTAAATACCACTGAATCGGTGCAATTAAAGAGAGCTGCATGCTGACGGGGCAGGATGGATCGAACGTGGGCATGAAACCAGAACACCTGCCAGGATGTTGTGCGTTACGCAAGCCGTGGGACACCAGCAGGGACAGCCCTGGGCCCAGAAATCCCCGGCCACAAGGAGGGCTTACACCACAATGGGGGAGGGTGCCCTGGGCCAGCAGCATCTCGGTTTCAGGCCTGTGGGCCGGCCAGGACGCCGGCAAAGCTTTGAGGAGGAGCGATCGATCGATCGATCGAGCAATCGGGAACGGCCCTTGTGGGAGCTCGCTTCATCCCCTAGCAGTGGGATCAACGCCTGATTCGGGGCGATTCCTCCGTGGGCAGCAGCCGCCCGCACCCCACCCCAAGTGCTTCATGTCAGACCTCAACACCACGGAGGGGCTCTGGGGGACACAGAGGGGAGGGGCGAGACATATCCCCCCCCCCCGTGAGCTTCCAAGCCAGTGCTTATGATACGAAAGCACCGCTCGGCCCCTCCAGAAGTGTGGGCTGCAGAATCCCCAGAATGCCTAGCCAGCGTGGCTTGTCCGGAATTCTGGGAGCCGCAATCTGGTGCACCTGGACAGGGGAAGACTGCGCCATTGTATACTTCGAGGGGCCCGATGCTCAGCTTGGATTTAAGTGCCCGCATTTTTGGCTAATTGACACGTGCAGTTGAGGGGGAAAGGGGGGAGGGAGCCCGCAGGCCTCGGGATGAGGAAGGACAGGCCCCATCGGTGCGGGTGTTCCAGGACAGGCTGGACGTGCACATGGCGGGCATGTCGTGAGCGGAGCCGGCTGGAGCCGGGGTCAGACTAGATGGCCCGGGAGGCCCCTTCTGGCTCGCTCTCTCTCCATGTTTCTAAGGATGGCGAGGCCGCCGCCCGACCCTCTGGAAGGGCGAGCCGTGCCCGTGGGACGGCCTGCGGCGCAGCAGACCCGCGCGACCCCGCGAGCGCCGCCCCCGCCTCCGCCCCCGCCCCGCCCGGCCCCAGAGGGCCATGCCGCCGGCCCCGCCGCTCGCCCCGGGGCCGGGGAGGGCCCGCTCCGGCCGCGCGGGGCTCCTTCCCCGGTGGGCGAGCGGCTCGGCGAGGGGGGCGCCGCGCGCGCGCGCGCTTCCGCGAGGCTGGCGGCGGAGGCGCACAGCGCACCCCCTGATTTGTTTGATTTGTTTTTAATTGTGTTTCAGGTGGGGAGCGGGAGGGCGAGGGGGCCTGGCGTGCCTTAAGCAAACTGGCGAGGGTGAAAGGGCTCCCTGTGACAGATCAAATAAATGTGCCTTCGCAGCCGAACCAAGAAACAATAAAACCAGGCAGAGGCTGCAGGAGAGAAACAGCAGCCTGTGACGGC